CTGCTGCCCATAGCCTTGCTCTGTTCTGTTCTATTTACTGTTATTAAAGAGTTGAAGTCACTGGTCAGATGTCTGGTCTCCATTATTCTCCATACTTAACACTGGCGACGAGGGTGGGATACGGAGACCGAAGAGCTGACTGAGTTACAGAGCAACCAACAGAGCACGTGGTCTCCATTATTCTTCATACTTAACAGTTAAGCAAGGTGATCAGGTGTGTACCTTGCTTACTGATCATCATGACTTGTGGTCATAATAGGCAGGTTCCATCATGGTCGTAAGTTGAAGAGTACCGGCATAGAAATGGTAGCATTGTCAGGCGATGGGCCTTTGCTAGGCCACCATATCTGAGCTGCAAAAGTTCGAGCAAGCACTAGAGAGCCGCAGTGCTTCCTTATGCCTGACTTGGGGACATCTGAATGTTTGCTCCTCACATCGATATGGAAAGTGACGTTTCTGCTGTTCTACCAAATTTGGCAACCGCTCACACTTGGCATCTTTGTTCACATGAAAAATACCTCATTGTTTGCTTTGAAGCTAAGGTTCAAAATGGCTAGCATGAGAGAGAATGGCATATACTCCATTTTTCAGAAAGTTTTGTCTGCTGTGGGAAAGAAACTCTTCTTTGCTTTCACAATAGCCACTTAAGGAGAGGCTCATGTTTTCAGTCTGGGACTGGGGTGTCTGCTTTTGGCTGCAACCACACCAGAAGGGATTGCCTATTTTAGTTTTCAGACCTAAGAAAGCCATTGGCCAGGTTCATACCATTACAGTTAATGCATTTCCTCTAGTAAACCCTGTTATATCCTTATTGCTATGTTGGCTGACATGAATATTATTTTAATAGAGAGAGGTGGCGGTTCATGAGTGTTTAATTTTTTTTCTCCACACAAACCAATGAGAAGCAACTGTGCAAAATGAGATTTAGCCTGGAGTTTCTTGGAGGGACACTTTGGATTCATTAGGTCTAAAGTTCTCTCTTGTTGCTAAATTGCTTCAAACTGAGTGTTGTTGTTGTCAATAATTCCAAGGGGACACACAAACAAACCAGCCCTTTTTGACAGTGTTGTGATAATTAAAGATTTTATTTCCATCTTACCGTTTCCAGATAAAAATCTTTGCATGTGTTCCTCCAAATTACATGAGTTTTCCATTCCACGCAATGAGTTGACATAATGAAAATAGGACACTAAAATGTCTTTTGGATTTCGGTACACGTAAATAACCTGCAAGAATGAATATATATATTTATGTAGTCTGTAATAAATACATTCATTTTAATTTAACTGAGAATACCTTCTAAAGTACATTGAAAAATTGTCTTATAAAATTAATATAATTTTTTCCCTTTTCCTGATATAAACTATATTTCACTGCCCCCACATTTTATTCTCACAATCATGTCATGAATTAGAATACATTGAGATATAGTAATTGGCTATATAGTGATTGGCAATCAAACAATTAATAATAATCTAATCAAGGAGCTACCAACTTAGACAGTAACACAGTAAACAACAACCTAATTGAGGAACTAGCAAGAACACTTCTACCCACATTGGCAGGGCTGGCCACTTCTATATAAAGTGGGCAAAGTCAGGGGTGGGATTCTACCAGTTCGCAACTATTCGGTAGAACTGGTTGTTAACATTCTAAGCAGTTCGGAGAACCGGTTGTTAGAAGAAATTACTGGCCTAATCCTGTAAGGAAGGCAGGAAGGAAACATTCTGGTGTTTACAGAAACTGCCTCTCTGTTAACCCTTATTACATTCTCGGCAGGACTAGACTTCTTGTCTCAGGAACTTCTCTGGAGTTTTTTTCCCTCCTTTGCTGGTACTTTGCTTGTGTGGAGTGACCATTTAAAGTTACAATGGCACTGAAAAAAAATGACATGACCATTTTTCACACTTACGACTGTTGCAGCATCCCCACAGTCATGAGAGGCCAGGTGAGGAGATGAGTGCCTCGATGTGAGTGATATTGAGTTGGCCACGCCCAGCCAATAACATGACCACCAAGTCATGTCCACCCAGTCACATGACCACCAAGCCACGCCCACCACCTAAGCCACACCCACAGAACCGGTTGTTAAAAATTTGAATCCCACCCCTGGGCAAAGTCCACTCCTTTCTAGCACTCAGGTTGTTACCTAGTTGGGTAATGAAATGTCTGCAAGAAAACAACCAAGTTTAGCGAACACCAAGGACCCACAATTGACTCAAAGTTGTCTTGTGTTTTGAATGGTTGAGTCTATTTTTCATTTCAGTAGGAAACTCTATACCATTTCAGGCAAATGGCTGTCCAAACTCTTCTTTAAAAACTGTTCAGGGATGGAGCACCCACAATGTCTGGAAGCAAGCCATTCCATTAGTTAATTGTTCTAATCTATCAGGAAATGTCTCCTCAGTTATAGGTTGCTTCTCTTCTTGATCAATTTCTATCCATTGCTTCTTGTCCTGCCTTCAGGTGCTTTGGAGGATAGGTCTCCTTTGTGGCAGCCCCTCAAATATTGGAACAGTGCTAACTGTTCTAACAGTGCTAACTGCTGATACAATTCTACAGAGGAATTATTGAGTCTGTCATCTGCACCTCTATAACTGTCTGGTTTGGTTCTGCAATCCAACAGGACAGACACAGACTTCAGAGGTTAATTAGGACTGCAGAAAAAACAATTACTACCAACCTGCCTTCAATTGAGGACCTGTATACTGCAGGAGTCAAAAAGAGGGCTGTGAAAATATTTACAGACCCCTCACATCCTGGACATAAACTATTTCAACTCCTTCCCCCAAAATGATGCTATACAGCACTGCACCACAGAATAACAAGGCACAAGAACAGTTTTCCCCAAATACCATCACTCTCCTAAACAAATAATTCCCTCAACACTGTCCAACTATTTACAAAGTCTGCATTACTATTACTATTAATCTTCTCCTCACTCCTTATCACTCATCCCCTCCTACTTGTGACTGTATGACGGTAACTTTGTCGCTTATATCCTTACGATTTATATTGACTGTTTCCTAGTATGATTTGATTGCTTATTGTATCCTATGACTATTATTAAGTGTTGTACCTTATGGTTCTTGATTCTTGATGAATGTATCTTTTGTTTTATGTACACTGAGAGCATTTGCACCAAAACAAATTCCTTGCGTGTCCAATCACACTTGGCCAATAAAGAATTCTATTATATTCTATTCTATCATGTCATCCTTAGTCCTTCTCTTCACTAGATTAGATAATGTCCAGCCCACTAATCATTTTTATTATTCTTATCTGCACTCTTTTGATATCTCAATAGCTTTTTGATATTATGGGATCCAAAACTGGATGAAATATTACACATGTGGTCTTTCCAGATCTTGGATTTCAGTACTGTAAACTCACAGTTTGATCAAGAAACCCCATTTGAGAGCAACACAGGGGACTCTATGAAGGCTCCAGCCTGATCGCTTCTGAAAAGCCCTCTGAAAGCGTTCATGCCTTCCACTTGCCTTTCCTTGAACTCTGACTTTTTCTCAGCATCTCTTGGACCCAATGACAGGGATATTTCTTCCTTGGGCTTCTCACTGGGTAGCCATAATTCCAGTTCCTGAGAGCCATTGCCTTGCTTCTGTTTTCATTCCTACTTCCATTTATGACAGGGATTTCTCTTGCATGCAGTGTTCCTTTAGTAGGGTTGTGGACTCTGTTCCTATATAGTCAAGGACCTTGGAGTACTCATATCAAATGACCTAAGCAGCAGAGCTCACTGCAACAGCATTGCCAAAAAGGCATTAAGAGTTGTAAATCTAATCTTACGAAGCTTTTCCTCTGGTAATATTGAATTGCTAACTGGGGCATACTAAACCTGTGCTAGACCAATACTCGAGTACAGCTCATCTGTCTGGAATCCGCACTGTATATCAGACATTAATACAATAGACCATGTCCAGAAGTATTTCATGAGAAGAGTTCTACACTCCTCTGCTTGCAACAGAATATCCTACACCACCAGACATGAAATTTTGGGCTTGGACAACCTAGAACTACACCGCCTATGGTTGGACCTAAGCGTAGTATGTAAATTATGTGCTACAATGATCTACCAGTCAATGACTACTTCAGCTTCAACCGCAACAACACAAGAGTACACAACAGATACAAACTCAATGTAAATGCTCCAAACTCGATTGCAGAAAGTACGACTTCAGCAACAGAATGGTCAATGCCTGGAATGCGCTACCTGACCCTGTTGTTACATCCTCAAACCCCCACTCCTTTAAACTTAAACTACCTACTATTGACTTCACCCCATTCTTAAGAGGTCTGTAAGGGGCGTGCATAAGTGCACAATCATGGCTACTGTCCCTGTCCTATTGTCTCCATTTATTCATACCTATTTCTTGTATTCATACTCATGTCTATTCTTATACCTATTATCTTGAAAGTGGTTGACAAATCAGATAGATAAATAAATAAATGTATCACCTATATCTGTATTTCTTCCTACTTGATTTTGATTTATCATTTTATTTACAGCAAAATGGACTTTTTTCTGCTCTAGTTGTGGATTGGGCCATGTCCTATGTAGGTTATCATTAAAAACAAGGATGCAAAATCACTTGTGAAATTTCATTTCCAAATAGTTCAGGCAGGGCCATCATTTCAAGTAATTACATCTTTAATGAGTCAGTACCTTGAGAAAAAATGGCATCAATTTATGCTTCACTCTAAAATGTAAAAGTTTTGTCTTTTAAAAATTTGTGTGCACTCCTGGCTTTTTTTCTCATATAGATAAAGGTTAATACAGTTGCACTACAGAGCTCTTTTCTCCTATAATCTGTGCTCTAATGATCATTCCTAGTTTTCTCCTATATGAATATAAACACACACATATATATATACATTCCTTGTATTTTTCAGTTAATTCATTATTATAGTTAGAATAAGTAACAAGATTGTCCTACTTTTCCCTTTTTGGCCCTCAGTGTCTTGGGAACTAGGTAATATGGCAAATGTGACGTGATGACACGAGGTGATGGCAGTTGGGTGATATCCACATTGTATATGTTATATTCTATGGATACACCCCGACGTGATATGAGGATATTTTCTGTTCCATTCCGATGGCCTTCATACAAAATCAAGCATACAATATTCTGGGTCCAGATAGTTCCTAAAAATGAAAATCAACTTGTTTTAAATTTCAGGGAATTATCTAGGTTTCATATTACTTATATCACCAAGGTTGTATCACTAAAAGAAGGAATAACATGAATTTGATCTTATTTCAAGTGTAGAAATCAATTAAGACCAAGAGTAGAATAATTCATATAGTACCTGTGAGCAGAATAAACTTACTATAATTTTAAGCATATTCTATGCTGTCACACTTATTTTCAAGTGAATTCTGGGATTCTCCTCATCATTGAAACAGAACGTAGCTGTATCACATACTTCATTCATCACCTAGAGCAGGGGTGTCAAACTTGCGTTGTCACGGTGGCATGTGACATATCGGAACTTCCCTCCCTTCGCTAAACCAGGCAGGGGCGGGGTCACCACGTGACGCCTCTGGCCCACGGGTCACAAATATGACACCCCGACCTAGAGAGAAACTTCACTGAAATCTAGAAATCTTCCATTTGACATTCAAATACGTTTTAACGCCAGCAAGAATAGTGTTTGATTATATAGTAAGTTGTATGAGGTAGTCTATGATTCTGAAGTTCTGGTTTGAAGATGTCAAACCTATGTCTCCATCTGCACTAAACTCTGGGCCTTATGGAAGGAAGGAGGTTGGCATTACCAAAGCGTAACCTCATGGTATTACATAAATACATTCTTTCCTTCTTCCTAGCTCTGGAGTTCTTGAGAAAGAAAGGAGCTTGGAAATTGTTCTTTCAAAGCCACAGCATAGAAAATATTCCAAAAGTTTAAAAAAAAAAACAATGGGGAGGTAGCACCTTGCAGTCAATAAGGCTTGTTCTATGAGCAAGGCTTTAATAAGAAGTGCCTGATTTCAATGATACAGACCAAGTTCCAAAATAAAGACATTTATTTGTGAAGAGGGGAACTAACAAAGGCCACAATCACATGTACAGAATTCCAAACTAAATCAACATAATCTGTGCAATGTTAGAACTGTGGCATGAGAAAGGTCCATCTCTTGCTTTGCTGGAATCCAGCATTTTCCCCACCTCTTCTTTCAAAAAACCCAAACCAGAGAAAATAGTTTTCAGAAATTCTTCTCAATAAAAAGCTCTTGACTACAAGAGATCAAAGTAGATATTAGTGACATATTTTTTTTCTGGCTGATAGAGGTGAATCAGAATATGGAAGAAGTGATAGGATGAATAGTAAAGAGCACCAAGCTATAGTAAAATGTTGCTTCTCTTTCTTGGGTCAAAGAAAGGAAAGAGTTAAATCTTTTCTTTCTGGGTAGGGTTTTTCACATTCTTGAAGAGCCTTACTTGGCTGTAATACTTCCAAAATATCCCTTAAGCAAAAACATAATCATGCAGAATTCCCTTTGTCAGTAAAGGATACCAACATGGAGGATTTCTTAAATTCTCTTAGCTCCAGTAATGCCAGATTTAAAAAATAGATTATGCCCTTTTGGTAGACCTATTAACTTTTATTAAATGCAGAATGTTTTCCAACTAGAAAGGTAACTTCTAGTACATACAGAGGGGCAGAATGAAACTTCACAAAGAGAAAGTTTAATTAGAGTATGAAATTTAAACATACATTGCTGGTGTCATATTACAGAATTCTTACCAGACTTTGGATAAGTTCCTATGAATATATCACTATCCCTGGTTTCGAAATCTTCTGCTGCTTCAATGAGATCAAGTTTCATTAATTTTTTTGAAAAATTATGCCCTTTATAGCTGAATAATTGTTCAGAGTCTACTTTTTCCATAATAACAGAGCTACAATAAAAGAGAAATTAGAGGGGAGGCTTCCTTCCTTAATGTTAGCAGCATAAACAGAAGCTCAAGATCTCTCAATTTATAATTATTGAAATTATTGTTTCAATAATTCACATTTGGCAGCCTTCTTCAGCAATGATCCCCAAGAGAAAACAACCTAGAAAAAGTCTATTTTTTTTTTTCTACAACTGTTAAAACTGGAACTCAACAAGGTACGTTTAAGGTCTTCAGTGTTAGAAAGAGGAAAACAAGGAAGTTGGAATTTTTATAGCTGTTACATACACCCAGGACATGGAGAAACTTTTTGAACTTAATTTGAGAAAAACTAATAAAACTATATGCTGGTATAACCACACTTTGATAGAAAGGAAAGAGGAATTTTAAAATATACCGCAGAATTAGTTAGAGACTGATGTTAAAAGTGTTTTAGGAGATCATGCAATTTAGAAAACCTAATGTTTATTTTCTTATTGTAATATCCATGGAATTTCTAAATCATCCAGATCATGGTTGTCCCAAAGGCGCTGTTCAAAAGGCACATGGACGTTTTTAGTTTTTTCTTTGAAAATATTTTGCTTCTCATTCTTGGATGAGAAGCAAAATGTTTTCAAGAAAACAAAAAAAAAATTCTTATTGTAATGATGATTTTTAAAAACAAAAAACCAAATCCTATTTATGCTGTGAGTTTCTAGAACATTTGGGATTTCATTTTCAGCCTTTCAGTTCTAGCTTCTCTTCATTGATTAAGTTATTACATTTTTCAGTCTGTAAGGTATGTTGTGAAGACTATGGAGTTAAAAGATAACAGATAATCAGAGTTGGAAAGGACCTTGTAGGTCATCTAGTCCAACCCCCCGCCCAAGCGGGAGACCCTACACCATTTCTGACAAATGGCAGTCCAATCTCTTCTTGAAAGTCTCAAGTGATGGTGCTCCCACAACTTCCGAGGGCAAGGTGTTCCATTGGTTGATTGTTCTCACTGTCAGAAAGTTTCTCCTTATTTCCAGGTTAAATCTCTCTTGTTCAGTTTCCATCCATTATTCCTTGTCTGGCCTTCGGGTGCTTCAGAAAATAGCTTGACCCCTTCCTCTCTGTGGCAGCCCCTCAAATATTGGAAGACTGCTATCATGTCTCCCCTGGTTCTTCTCTTCACTAGACTAGCCATGCCCAGTTCCTATAACCGTTCTTTGTATGTCTTAGTCTCCAGTCCCCCAGTGATTGTGGCAGGCAATACACGTATGTGAATTATGTAGTGATATTTATATAGCGAGCAGCTAATTATATAGTGAACAGAGTAATTGGCTATTTTAGCAATCAAACAATAAATAATAGCCTAATCAAGGAACTACCAATGTGGACACAGTAAACAACAGCCTAATAGAGTTGTGATGGTTGGGGCTGGATCTTCAACTGATTCTGGAAGCGGTGTTCTACTCAATGCATCAGCGTGGAGAATTGATTTCCCCGGGCGGTGTTGCAAGGTGTAGTTGTACGCCGCCAAGAATTCAGACCAGCGGGTCATTCTGGGGGACGATATATACGGGGTTGGTTTATTACCCGCAATAATCCCCAGTAGTGGTTTATGATCAGTAATTATTGTAAACGCATGCCCATACACATATTCATGAAATCTTTTAACTGCAGCCACAATAGCTAAAGCTTCTTTATCCAGCTGACTATAATTTCTTTCAGCTTTAGCTAAAGTTCGTGAAAAAAATGCGACGGGAGCTTCTGCTCCGTTCGGTAATACGTGGGCCAGGATTGCTCCAACCCCAAAAGGTGAGGCGTCACAAGTAATAGTTAACGGCAGAGTCTCGTTGTACTGCATAAGTACAGAATCAGAAGTTAGCAATTTCTTTACTTGTTGGAAAGCGTATTGTTCACGTTGTCCCCAAACCCACGTTGCTTTTTTGTCTAAGAGTCTATGTAATGGTTCAGCTACCGTTGCTTTATTGGGTAAAAAGACGTTATAGAAATTGATAAGTCCAAGGAACGCCTGTAGATCTGCCTTGTTCCTTGGAGTGGGGGCCTTCTTAATTGCCTTTAATTTGTCCTCAGTGGGATGGATTCCTTGACTGTCCAGGAGGTATCCCAAAAACTCCACCCTTTCGGTACATAACTGGCATTTATTTTTTTTAACTTTGAGGCCTGCGTTTTGGAACCTTTGTAAAACCTCTCGGAGTCGTTTTTCTAGAATGTCTCTGTTAGGGGCGGCGATGAGTACATCGTCGAAATACGGTACGACCCCTCTTATTCCTTGTAACAACCTTTCCATTAAGCTCTGAAAGATTCCTGGAGCGACACTCACCCCGAACTGAAGCCGGTTGCATTTAAATGCGCCCCTATGCGTGATGATAGTTTGCGCCTCCGCGGTGGCCGGATCTACAGGCAATTGTTGATACGCCTGCGCTAGGTCTAATTTAGCGAAAACTTTCCCGCCGCCCAGGGAATGGAGCAGGTGTTGCACTACCGGCACTGGGTACGCACTTTGCTGAAGTGCGTGGTTTAGGGTGGCCCGGTAGTCTCCGCAAATTCTCAGTGACCCATCAGGCTTGATAGGCGTCACTATTGGGGTTTCCCACCGGGCGTGGTCGGTGGGTTCCAGCATGCCCTGTTCTATTAGCTTATCGAGTTGTTCATCGATTTTAGGTTTCAGGGCGAACGGCACCCGACGCGGCTTAAGGCGGATGGGTCTACCTCAGGGTTCAAGTTAAATGAGATCGGGGTCCCCTTGTACTTGCCTAGTCCGTTCTCGAAAACGTCTTGGAATTCTTGCACGAGGGCTTCCTCCCAATCGTTGCTCTCGGCGCGGTGGACTCCGGCTACAGTGATTCCAAGCGGTCTGAACCATTGAAGGCCTAAAAGACTAGGCCGGTCATGGTCCACAACAGTCAGTGGCAGTGCGACAGTGCGGTCCTTGAAAGAGACCTGGAATCGGCGGGACCCGACAACGGGAATTTGGTTACCCTGGTAATCTTTGAGTATAACCCTTTGAGGGTTGAGGTCTTGGCGGCGGATCGTCGGAATGAGCTGTTGAAGCGTCTTCCAGGACACCATCGAGAGGGATGATCCTGAGTCCACCTCCATTACACAAGGTTTGTTTTCGATAGCGACCTTCACTCTGATTTTCCCGGCATCAAGGGATGTAGCGTGGCCTATGGTAATTGTCTGGTGGGTCTCTTCCCACCTGGTGGAAGTGGTGGACGGTTTGTTTCTGTAAGAGTGGCTTCCCCATTGGTGATTCAGTTTGTTTCGGGGTGTGCCAAAGAATTCTGAAGACTGGCATTCGGCCTGTTGGGGTTTGGAGTTGGAGTTTTGTTTGCTTCTGCAAACCTTTGCGATGTGACCTCTTTTCCCGAAAACGCGGCAGAGTGCGTCGAGGAATTTGCAGCTGGATCGTGGGTGATTCGCTCCACATCCTGCACAAGGTCGAGAGGAGTGTTGTGTGAACTGGTCTCGTTCCGTTCGGAGTCGGTTGACCTCTTCCTCATCGCTTTCTGATGGTGATTCTAGGTCTTCGTGGTGAGTCGATACCGGGTGTCTCTCTGAGCGAGGCGAGGTATCTTTGGCGAGTTGACGTTGCGGTGCGCTGGTGCGGCGCATTCGGGCTGCCGACTTTTTGGTCGCCTCCGCTGCAGTGGCTTCTTTAAGGGCATCAGTGAGGCTGATGTCCCCCTTAGCCATGATTTTGCTCTGGATCGTGCCGTCTTCTAGGCCCAGGACTAGGCGGTCTCGGAGGGCTTCTTCTAAGTCAGAGAATCCGCAGAGGCCTCCAAGGTTGCGGAGGTCTGCGATGTAGTTGGCAAGGCTTTCGCCTTTCCGCTGGTCCCTCTAGTAATATTCGTGTCTTCTGACTAAGGTTGGCACGGTGGGCGCGTAGTGGGCCCGTAGCAAAGGCTCGAGGACGTCCCAGTCCATCGCTTTTACTTCGGCTGGCTTGGCAAGTGATTTTGCCATTTTAAACACGGTAGGCCCGCAGTGGTTTAGAAATATAGCTCTTTTTTTGCTGGTTGTTGCATCTTTCAAATTGTTGGTCTCCAGAAACATCTGGAACCTATCCATGTACGACTCCCAGTCTTCGGTTTCTGGGTCGAATGGAGCGGGTGGTACGGCACCGCTGGCCATGTTGCCGTTGATAGTGTGTGTTCGACCACGTGCTCTGTTGGTTGCTCTGTAGATCAGTCAGCTCTTCGGTCTCCGCATCCCACCTTCGTCGCCAGTGTTAAGTTTGGAGAATAATGGAGACCAGACATCTGACCAGTGACTTCAACTCTTTAATAACAGTAAATAGAACAGAACAGAGCAATGCTATGGGCAGCAGTAACCCTTTTATAGGGTTGGCTGCTACCCTATTAACCAATAAGAAGTGTCCTAAAAGTGGCCAATCCTTGTTCGTTGTTTAAGGACCAATCAAGTGTGCAGGCTTTCAAAACCTGCTTTGCATTTGGGCTTAGTTACTTTTATTGATTCACAACAAGCCTAATCAAGGAACTACCAATGTGGAAACAGTAAACAACAGCCTAATAGAGAAATTACCAAGAACACTCCTACCCACACTGGCAGTACAAGCCACTTCTATATAAAATGGACAAATTCCACTCTTTTCTAGCACTCAGGATGTTACCTAGTTGGGTAATGATATGTATGCAACCAAGTTTATAGAGCACCTTGGACCCTACAATTGACTCCAAGTTGTCTTGTGTGTTTAAAGGGTCAGTCTATGCAGAGATTTACGTAAAACACTTTTTTTTAAAAAAGGAAAATTGCTAGATTCAGTTTCATCATCTTGTTCAGTTTAAGATCTGCACTTTATCTTGCTTCCTGCAGAGAATAAGGGAAAAAGTCTTAACAGAATAACAGAGTTGGAAGGGGCCTTGGAGATCTTCTAGTCCAATTCCCTGCTCAAGCCATTTCAGATTCATGGTTGTCCAATCTCTTCTTAAAAACCTGCAGTGTTGGAGCATTCCCAACTTCTGGAGGCAAGTTGTTCTACTGATTAATTGTTGTAACTGTCAGGAAAGTTCTCCTTAGTTCTATGTTGCTTCTCTCCTTGATTAGTTTCCATCCAAAGCTTCTTGTCCTGCCCTCAGGTGCTTTGGAGAATAGATTGACTCCCTCTTCTTTGTGGCAGAGATATTTGTGGCAGAGATATCCTGAGATAAAAAATATTGTCCCACTTACTAATAATAATACTAATACCGTGTTTCTCATATAATAAGGCCGGGTCTTATTTTTTTTTGAGCCCCGAAAAAATGGCTAGGCTGTCTTTTCGGGGGTGACTTAATTCCCCCCCTTGCATCTTTGGGTGGGCGGGTGGCGATGGCTTGGATGTTGACCTCGGCATTGGTGGGGCACTTCGTATCGGGGTCAACGCAGGCAGCACCATATCCGGGTGTGCAACAAAAGTACTTCCTAACGGCAAGCCCCCCCCATCATTCCCCCCCCATTTCGCATGTTTTAATATAGGCCTTAATTTGGGGGGAGGGGCTTAATTTCATTTCATGCCTATAAAACATGCTGGGACTTCCTATTGGGGGAGGCCATATTGTTGGAGAAACAGGGTAATTATAATAACACATAAATTAACAGCTCTAATAATACTATGATAATTCCCATACAGTACATTTCCCATTCTTTGTGTTTAATTCATTCCTATTTTTAGTACTTATAGCAATTATAGTTATATACCATCCCTGTTTTAATAAGATTGTTCATCATTTTTCTTCCTCTAACTTCTACCTCTTGTTTTTAACCACTCATAAAATCTATTCCATGTCAAATAGTATTCCAAGTCTTCTTTTTCTTTTATTTTTAAAGTTAATCTGTCCATTTTAGCACATTCTAGAATCTTCCTAATTACCTCATCATTTGGTGGGGTATTCTAATTTTTTCAAAATTTTGCATCTTTGCTGCTGTCAGTATATGTAAAAATATATATGCACTTCTTTTATCACAACCCTCTGGGATTATGCCCAGCAAATATACTTCTGATTTCCAGTCTATCTTCTGTTTGATTATTTTTTCCCAGCCAACTCTTTATTTTCTCCCAATATTGTTTTGCTTTGGTGCAAGTCCACCACATATAACAGTAAGTCCCCAGATTATGATTGCATTTCCAACATTTTGCAGACAAATTACTGAACATTTTTGCCAATCTTGCTGATGGTAAGTGCCACCTATAAAACATTTTATATAAATTTTCTTTATATGCCAAGGCCATCGTCAATTTATAGTTCTTGTCCCATAGTTTTTGCCACTTCTCTAATTCTATATTATAACCAAAAAAAATTGCCCAAACAATCATTATTTCCTTGACTTGCTCCTCCTCCTTTTGTCCATCAATAGATAATTATATGCTTTTTTAATCAGTTTTTCATCTGTCCCCATTAGTATCTTATCTAGTGCTGTTGGTTCATTATTTAGACCCTATGTTTTAACATCCTTCTCGTATCTGGTTTGTATTTGGAGATATGGCCACTAATCTAGATCCACCCCCTGACTCTGTAATTGTTGTCTAGTTTTTAATTCACAGTCCTTATTTAAAATATCTTTATACAACACAATTTTTTCAAAGTTGATAAGATTTGGATAGATTACTTACCTGGCAGGGGAGATACCTTGGTCACGGAACTACTTTAAAATGTAGCTATTAATAATCCAAAAGATTTTCAATTGTGCGAAATGGACAAACTTACATTAGAACTAAAACAGAAAGAAGACTCAGATTATTATACAGTTTGGGAAAATTGGTATCATTAGATAAATAATAGAAACAAGCAATTAAATAAATAAGGAATGTATAGTTTAGAAAGATAGAGGTATATATATATATAAGAACAATTAGGAGTATAAAATACGCACTGGAATAACAATTGTAATATACACAACATTTTCATTTTAAATATCTGTATTGTATTTTGTATTTTAATATTTTAAATCTGCAATAAAGGTTATTTTGGGGGGGAAAATGAAGCTATTAATTTAACATCTTAATCAAACATTTTCTAATAAACTACTATAATCTGTCTTAATGCTAGGAATAAATATTTAGGAACTACCCTTAAGCTTCTTTCCTGCTGATTATTGAATATCTGTTTCAGAAATAAAGCACTGGACAGAGCAGAAGGAAAATGACACTTCTGTAATTTAGAAGCAGACTTTTTATCTGTTGACTATGAAAGGATGCCCAGGGACTAGCTTTTTCTTTTTCTTTAAAGGGCTTGAAATCTAGACTGTTGACATCAGAAAGCAAACTTATATTGCACAGTCACTTCATAAACAACTTTTTTGCAATTCAGAATTAACTTGATAAAGCCACATCTAAATCAAACACAATCTGGATCAATATCACACAGGAGATGAATAGTAGAAGACATTGCATAAACCATTTGGTGGAAAAGAAAAAAAAAAGAATTGCAGAATTTGCCTTTTGTTTTCTTCTTTCTCATTCAATAGGATGGGAAGTGGTACCTGTTTCATACTTCACCTTCACTCAAAACCATCAAGCTTTGTGGTTTTGTTAATGGCGACCAGATTGACATCAATCTGGTCTTATTTGGCATGTATTGCAGTGATTCTTTCCTTAGAAATGTGTTTATAAACCAGGCAGTTCAGTTAAGAACCTATTAGATCCATGATGGCGAACCTATGGCACGCGTGTCGGAAGTGGCACAAGAGCCATTACTGCCAGCACGCGAGCCCTCACCCAGAGCAGGTCTACTGTGCTTGCGCATGCGCCACCTGCCCGACAGCTGATTGTCAGGTATCAGGCACGCATGCGCGGGAGGTGGGGGTGAGTGGGAGATGCACACGCATGTGCAGAGATGCACGGTGCACCAGGGTCTCGTGCGCATGCATGCCAGATATGCGTGGGAGGTTAGGGTTGCCTGATGGGTGCTGCGCACGCAATTTTCAGCACAGGAGCCCAAAAAGATTAGCCACCACTGTATTAGTTCAAAGAGATCAGAGTATCACATCAAGGCGACGTAAAGGCAATGTAATTATTTGAATCTTGATTCTTGTTATTTAATGCCTGAGTATTTTATTATTGTATTTCTTTTTCCTGGAGGTAGACTCTATATTTCACTTTTATTTTATTTATTTATTTTATTATTATTTTATTTTATATGGTTGTAAGGCCAATCAATAAAAATACTTTTACTACTTTTACTATTACACAACATACCCGACATAGCCAAAAACACTAAGATTGAAATACACTGAATCATGGACCTCCTCAATCTCTTTCCCAGTAGCTATTTTCAGTGATGTACAAATCAGTGGTGGAATTCAAAATGTTTTACTACCAGTTCTGTGGCCGTGGCTCGGTGGGCATGGCAAGGGAAGGATACTGTAAAATCTCCATTCTGCAAAATCCCATTGCCTCCCCACCCTACTAACCTGCTTTCTACGTTGAATAGCACTGATAATGTTATCTAGTTGGGTAATCAAACATCTGCAAGCAAACAGTCGAGTTCAGAGAGCACCAAGGACACCACAGTTCAACCCTGAGCTACAAATAATTCAAACTTCTTTTCTATTGGAAGTTTGAATCTCCCTTAAAATGAGGTTGTGTCTAAAAAACACCACATGGCACTACTTTAGTGGAAACAAAATTCAGGTCTTAATAATGTAAGGTAAAGTTTTAACATCTGTAATACTCCTTTCCCTTTTTAGGATTCCATTCTGTTTATATAATGTGCTTTTTTTTTAAAAAATAAAGTTTGCTTTAACCATGCAGGCAAACAACTTCCAATTTCCACTGTTAGGACCTACCTTATCACAGTAAGGGTGACAAAACTCAACTATCTCTCCTGTCTTATCTCATCTGCCAATGGTTGCCCAGCAACTATGTTTCTAGTACAGGGGTGGGCAAACTACGGCCCGCGGGCCACATCCGGCCCGTTGGTCTGTCCAATCCGGCCCACCCCTGAAAAAAAATCGTTGGGCGTGGCGTGGCCCCCAAAGCTGCAAAAAAGTGCGGAGCGCTCTCAGGGTAGGAAAGAAAAGAAGAACTTTGCAAAGGCCTCGGCTGGGAGTTCGAAATCACCTTCGAGTGCGACGTCTCCGAAGGTGAGTCCCTGCCGATCCCCCTTTTTTTTCCGGGGCTTCCAGGCTTAAACTTTGCAAAGGCAAAGTTTGCAGGCGGGAGCGTCTTCTGGCCGAGGAGCGGGAAGGGTTCTGCCTGGCGGGCAGGCGGGCTGCTTGGAGTGGGCTGCTTGGAGCCACCTAAAGCTAGGCCGCTGCTGGTGGAGCCTTGCCCTGCCTTGGTGCCCCATTTCCCGGCTCGGCGGTCCTGCTCGGGCGGCACTTTAAAAGCCTGCTCCCAGCACCCGAGCAACTTCCCAGCAACTTGCGGCTTCCTTTTTCCTCGCGGGTGCTCGCGCCTGGCCCCGAGCCACGCGGCGGAGGGGAAACCCGGAGCACCGCCGGGTCGCCTCCTCCAAGCAGCCCGCCCACCGGGCGGAACCCTTCCCGCTCCTCGGCGGGAAGACGCTCCCGCCTGCAAACTTTGCCTGTGCAAAGTTTAAGCTTGGAAGCCCCGGAAACCCGAGCAACTTCCCAGCAACTTTCGGCTTCCTTTTAACTCGCGGGCGCTCGCGCCTGGCCCCGTGCCGCGCGGCGGAGGGGAAGCCTGGTGGGCGGGCGGGCTGCTTGGAGGAGGCGACCCGGCGGTGCTCCGGCAGCAGCAACAGGCAGTTCCGCCTGGGCTCCGCTCAGGTGTCCGGCTGGGGCTGTCAGGAGTTGCTACCGCCGGCGCAGCTCCACGCGGCTCCAGTCCCGCGTTGCCTTGGGAAGGAAAAGGCAAAACCAGGAGCCGCTGAGCCTGAGCCTCCGGTGCCGCTGCTGCCGTTGCAAAGCACCGCCGCGGCTCTTCCTTTTTGCCTTTCCCTTCCCCAGGCAACGCGGGACTGGAGCCGCGCGGAGCCACGCCGGTGGTAGCAACTCCTGACTCAGGGGGCCTCCGAGGGGAGGGGAAGGAGGAGAAGAGGGGGGGGAAGGGTGGGGGGGCAATTCCCAAAAAATCTTGTGCTGACCCGGCCCGTCTGTCAAATTTTAAAAGTCAATGCGGCCCCCGAGCCAGAAAGTTTGCCCACCCCTGTTCTAGTAGCTTGGTCTCTCCTTGGGGGGAGTAATACCAATATGCAGCTAAATGACCACTGTGAGGAATTATGCTGCACATCTGGCAGATAAAATCGCTCATATTCATTCTACATTGAACTCCAACTTTAAAGAGAAATCTGTGATGGTGGTGGGAGTTGTGTCTTCCAAGATGATCTGAGAAGAGTGTGAGCCTGTGGAACCTGAGGAGGTGGACAGGACCCTGTCTGCTGCTACTTAGTCACTTGTCGGTTAATTCCATGTCCCTCCTGGCTGTGTGGAAAGGAATGCAGGATTGGGTGTGGGTGGTAATGAACTCCTCCATAAAAGAAGGAATGACCCCACTGGTTCTTAAAGAGGCAATGGTGAAACCCTCTTGAAGGACCGTCACTCAACTCAACCATACTAGAGGCTTCCAAACTTCCCTATTTAGTGAAGGTTGTAGACAGAGTGGTCGCATAGCAGCTTCAGAGGACTCTGTATGAAGCAGATTGCCCAGACCCAGTGGTGGTATGCTACCGGTTCAGACCTGTTTGGTAGAACCAAAGCCTCCAACAATCAGCTGAGAGGACAATCAGCTGAGAGGAGAAAGAACAGAAAAGCACAGGATCAGTCCTCCCACCTCCCCTTGCGCTTTTCTCTTCTTTAACCTCTCAGCTGGAAGTCTCAGTGTGGAAAGCTGTGCGTGCACGATCATCAAACCTGTAGTGGAACAGGTAGGATCCCACTGCTGCCTAGACCCCTTTCAGTTAGGGTTCAGGCCAGGGTTTGCTATTGAGACAGCACTAATCACATTCATGGATCAGCTCTGGTGGGAATGAGATGGAGGTAGTGCATCCAACCTGGTTCTTCTTGACCTCTCAGTGATGTTATTTTTTATTTTATTTTATTTTATTTATTTATTTGTCAAGCGATTATAAGATAACAGGTATAAGTATAAACATAGTTATGAATACATGAAATGGATACATATAAGAAAAATAAAAAGAAACAATAGGACAGGGACGGTAGGCATGTTCCTACAGACCTCTTAGGAAAGGCGTGAGGTCAATAGTAGACAGTCTAAGGTTAAAGTTTTTGGGGTTTGGGGAAGAAACCACAGAGTCAGGTAGAGTATTCCAGACATTGACCACTCTGTTGCTGAAGTCATATTTCCTGCAATCAAGTTTGGTGCGATTAACCTTGAGTTTGTATCTATTGTTTGCTCTTGTGTTGTTATGGTTGAAGCTGAAGTATTCATTAACAGGTAGGACATTGCAATATATAATTTTATGTACTATACTTAGATTGGACCGAAGGCGGCGTAGTTCTAGATTTTCCAGGTCTAAAATTTCAAGTCTGGTGGCATAAGGTATTCTGCAACGAATAGAGGAGTGGAGAACTCTTCTTGTGAAATATTTCTGAACTTTCTCAACTGTATAAATATCAGATACGTAATGTGGGTTCCAGACTGATGAGCTGTATTTAATGGCAGCTGAATTTCAAAGCTGATATCATGGATACATTCTGGATGCCTTATATTCAAGTATTGGTCTAGCAAATGTTTTGTATGCTCTAGTTAGTAGTGTGATATTACCACAGAAAAAGCGATGCAGGATTAGGTTAAGAACTCTTAATGCCTTTTTGGCTATGTTGTTATAGTGGGCTCTAGCACTTAGATCATTAGAGATGAGTATTCCAAGGTCCTTTACAGAGTTTGGATCATCAACAAGGTCTTGACTATTCAGCCTGTATTTTCTGATTTTTTTTGCATACATACATACATACATGCATACATACACACACACACACACACACACACACAGATAGATAGATAGATAAATAGATAGATAGATAGATAGATAGATAGATATAGATATAGATATAGATATAGATATAGATATAGATATAGATATAGATATAGATATAGATATAGATAGATATAGATAGATATTTCTGTCTGTAAAACACTAATTGCCAGAACCAAACACCAGGCAGACAAGGCACATATAAAGACTGAACTATGCACCTGACCAAAGTACTGACAACCAACGTCTTCCACAAAAGCAAAATCAGGGGTCTGATGCACAAAAACACACTGAGGCACAATAAAGACCTAGAAGATGAACAGACCTATGGAATAGCTGTCCTGCCC